AAGGTCCAGCTTTTATATACTTAGATATTTATGTATATATATATAAGAATTATGGCATACTTTGATAGATTTCAAACACGATTTTAGTTAACCATTAGCACGTGTATACATAACACAATTCGCTAAAGAATACAAAAGTGTCAGCTGACATCCGCATAAAAAAGAGGGTGATGGCGAGTCACTATAAAGCATGATATGTAAATATATTTTAAAAAAATTCTCTTAAAGCTCCATTGAAAAATAAAAAAGTGCCAGTGCTCACATCCACATAGCCACATATAACGTTTAGTTAAATTTTGATGTTGAAGTATCTATACCGTAATATATTATTATATACTCTGCACAGCACTTCATCTAACTATATGCCAAGTGTCATTGTTTTTTAAAATGTGCAGACTTCCGAGAAATAATACAAATAGGTAGTTATAAATATTTTTTTTCAAAACCAGAATCACCTAATAATATTATATTATACTAACGCCGGACCCGTGAATACGTATATCTACCGCCCACCTAATATACGTGTGTGCACATCACTGCGAGTTTATTGGCAAAGTTATCAAAGGCAAGACAGTGACGTTTTTCTGGCACGTTCCAATTATTTCATTGCGTGTGATCTGGTGATTTTTATATAATTCCTATAATTCCTTATTATAATAAATCTGAGCAATAATATATATATTATTTTATTGTCATAATACAAATGCAGTTTAAGCAATAATATCGATTCTCGTTCGTTCATATGAGATTATGCGATTTCAACAATTGTTTCTTGGACACACGTGTATTACAGTTTTTGAAACACGCACTAAATTTAAAATGCACTTAAGGTATTATACTATTATATGATATAATATACCTACCTATACAAAAACGTTTATCTATGAAATCAACTGTACATAATAATGTTATTATTATTACAGGTGTGACTTATTTAAGTATAATAATAATATATATTATTATTATATCAAATTTATAAACATTCAATTCATAATAGCTGCAGGGGTTATTCGAGATAATATCCTGTGAATAAACACAATAATCGTCATTAAATCGCCATTACGACGCGATTAATGGTGACCGATCGGCAAGGTTGTACGATAAACGCATTACGTTTATGTATTAATAATATTATGTACATAATATTGTTATACATGCGTAGTATGTATTATATGAGGGTGAAGACCATAATATTATATAACCATTATATATTAATGTTATATGTTGTAGACACCGATATTTAGCGTCGCCAACATACAATTATTGTCAACAGTAAGAAAACATAAATTCAATACTTTCCCTTATTTCGTTTTTATTATATATTTATATTATGGCCTTTAATTTTTATTAAATTAATAGCGCAAAACTTTATGATATAATAAATAATCTCACAACGTGAACTATCATAGTTATATTACAGGGCGTTTACAACAGTATACGAGTAAATTATCGAACAACCAAAAAACGTAATTAATATAATTAATACTGCCACCGTCGTTAAAGTAAATGTAACGACATCAGAATAATTATTAGATATTATTATGTAAATTGAACCGAATAAATACCTATAGTTTATAGTTATGCGTATACAAATAATTTGATGAAAACACATTATACATACAATTAATAATTCATTATAATTCAATGGTAAAATATTATTTTATTTTGGTAAAAAATAATAACAATTACAGCAGAACTTAAAAATAATGAAGATATAAAATTATATTTCTTTTTAGTTGATTTCAACCGTATTTAACATAGAAATAGTAGTCTTAAAAAGACTTACCATTTAAACAATTTCTTTTTTTACTTAAATTATCATACCATTAGCATTCGATATTATGATATTTACCCCTACAATAATACATGTATTATGTATGTATCAACATAGACTATGTGTATTGTGTAATAATCATAAATTTTTGTTTATAATATATTATTTTAAATAGTAAAATTTATTATTAATAATTTGTTATAAGTTGCAATCGTTATACATATAATATTATACTTAAAGAACAGGCTTTGCAGATATTATCTTGCAGCTTTATAGAGATATAGAGATGTATTAGTTTCAATTCAAAAATATCTGTCAAATGTAAGAAATATCTATGATAGAATTGCAATAATACAATAGTTGAAGTTTTAAATTTACACCTTATGTCCAAAACAGAAATAAAAACATTTTTATTGCGTGTTAAATGTTTTATACTTTAATATATATGAGCACCCATAAATATATTATGTACTACATATATAGGCTATATGCTTGTAATATATTATATATTTACCTACTAATTGGATTTACTTATAAACGGCCGGGTATATTACTTAACTCTACAAAGTTTATAAGTAATGATTACGCGCTAATCCAATTATTTCAAAATGAAATCATTATTTATTTATCAATATAACCTATAGGCGGGCTAGTTAAAAACTTAGAACATAATTATATAGTTTTTATTATGATAAACATATGAGAATCAAACTTCGAATTATTTTGCACCTTATAAGCATTGACATATACATCAATAATTTAAAGAAATTATATAGAAATTAGATTCACATACACTCATAAAAAGTAAGTATATCTTTACAAAAAACTTATAGTATGTTAAGTAAGGCAAGAAATAACTAAGGCTCAGTTTTTAAAGTATAATAAATCACAATAAAAAAACACAAAATTGTTAAAAAAATAAAAGAAAGCAAAATAGAAACATATTTATTTTTAAAAAAGCATGATCAAAAATTAATATGAACTAGTTATAAAAATGAATAAAACCAAATTGAAAAATTTATTTAAATTTAAAATAAAAGAATTAATTACTTTATATTTTGCTAGATTTTCAGTAGTGAAACTGACTCTATTGTCCGACAAAATGTTTTTATACATAGAAAACAAACGCTAAATGTTTACTCTATATCTCTGTACATGCTGTTACATATCTTTCACAAGACTCTTTTCTATCGCAAAGTTTACAGATTACTATACAAAACTGATCCTTCTGTTTGAAAAGAACTCTTCATCAAATTATAACACTAATGTTTTTAAAGATGCATTAGTTTTAACTTTTCGCATTTTACTTGAAAATAGTACTTACAAATTACAACACTAAATCTTAAATTTTGAAATGATCGATATTGATGTTATAGTCATACTAACTATAAGTATTATAAGCTATTTATAGGTCGATAACTTATTAACCTGTAGACTGTCTGTAGGTTGATGATCTATACGTTTAATACATTTGATAATCAAGCCAATAACGAAAACAATAATAATCCAATATAATAATTTAGCCTATACTTCGGAATTTTAAATTTCTTATTAATAAATTAATTTCTTTTTTTATCACTATAGCGTAGTAAACGTATCATATATAAATTCTACAATTGGAATAACTGAAAAAAAAAGTATTTGCATAACAAAAATTTGAATAAATAGGTTTATTTGGAATCAGAATGACACGAAACGAATTTACGAATACAAATTATATTTCTACCTCATACATAAAAAAGAAGCATATGCTTTAAATTCTGAGTTCCATAGTAATAACTAATAAATATATAGGTACTAATTATAATCGAAAATTAAACCAAGATAAGTTTATAGATTCAAAACACTATATGTATAAATAAAGACCTCATCGGAATATTTTAACAATTAGTTAACGAGTTTTTTTATATTTTTAAATGCACGGTTTTGTTAAATTAACAATACCTAACTGTTATGTTAGAGTTAGGTATGACTACCTACATAACGTAAAAAACACTAGCTGCCTTAAAAAAAAACATGAACAGAAAATTATACATAAAATTTAAGATAGCAATGATTGATTTTTCTATTTACTTTTTATATGATAATTTAAAACAATTTAAACTTGGAGAAATATATTTACACGATATACAGACCATTCAAACTTCAAACGTAATGTTATATGTGTCATCATATGTTATATATACGTAAAGACAGTAGTCAGTGAGAAATATTGAATGAAACCATAGAATGAAGCATGAGAAAAATAAAAAAATACTATATATATATAGTTATAGGTACCTAAAACGCAAGTAATAAAACAATAAAAGCTAAAAAACTATATTTTGGAAATTTCGAAATGTCAAGATTTATACAAAACGGAGATATATGATAATTATTATATCCAATGCATTCAAAATGTTTATCAGGTACCTACCTAATATAGCTGATATAGTGAACTGATAACAACCACTATCGCTTATCACTAGGAAATTAAATATGAGCGATGCAGTTGCGATAGTTTTTACATTTATGTGAAATTCAACAACATCATTCATTTTAACAAAAACTTGTACATTTGAATATACTTTTTTTTTAAGTCTACTTTGCTCGCGATAAATTGGTCATCTTAATGTAATTTATAAATTGCCTAAGAAATATACCTATAACATGTTCAATGCATTTAGTTATCATCAAAACATGATAGATCACAAATTCCAGCTATATAATGTAGTAGGTACTATAATATAGAACTATAGAAAGATATCATATTACATTTAAAACATTTTAATTGTATTGTCTACCAACTTTATAAATGTTTTTAGATCAGCTAAAAAAAGAAGAACATGACAACCATATACAATTATAATTTATAAGCCAAATAATATCTGATCATGCAGTAATAAATAATCGAATGAATAAAATATAAAATAAGTGTCAAAGAAAAATACAAGCGTTAACTACTAATTATCCATGGAATATAGACATACCAATAACGCGTTTCAATATAATATATAGGTAGATACCTTCAAGGAATAGCTTTTTGGCGTAAACCTATAGCCTTAATAATATAATATATATATATATAGTTAAAGTAAGGATATTTATGCAATTTATTGATGTGATAATATATATATATATCTATAAATTTATCTATCGATGAGAAGATATAGTATAACATATAATATATACCTACACTTGTATAGTAGGTATTTAATGTAGTGTGTAATAGCTAATAGGTACTCACCATATCCTTGTGCGAGTCCAACGAGTTGGTCTCGCCGGTGGCTGCTGCACGGACAGGGTTCTGCTTGACACGGCCAATTTTGAATGAGTATTCACATCCGGTCCACTAAGGGCGGCGGTATATTTATATGTATATATATATTTATAATGTGATGTGTTATGATATAAGTGATGATATTATTACCGACTACGACGGAATACCGACTAAACGCGGTCTATAGGTACACGTACCTACGTATGATATAGGTTTTCCGCGCGTTATAGGAACTTATTGCGTGGAGTTGTGTATATATGTATGTATATAAATGTATGTGTATATGATATTATGATATTATAGACCGGAAACGGCGATTGCGGCGCGATCGGAACAAGACGGAAGCGTCGACGACCGCGACGACCACGTGAACAACGACACCCGTCGGCGGTGGTGCATTATCCGCGTATCCGGTCGGATGCCCGATGCAAAACTATGTCGTTGGTCTGGAAAAAAACGCGAAACGAAACGGACGGTTTTCGATAAAAACAAAACAAAAAAAAAACAAAAAAAAAACGAAAATCGCACGCCAAACCTACAATGACGATATTAAATTGTATGCTATTATTGTCATGTGTTCATGTGCATTCGACGGCGTCATTGATGGGCACTATCTACTGCGCGCAGATACAGTCGGTACGACTCGCCGTCCGTAAATCCAGCAAACAGTGTCGGTGTGCGTGTGGCGCGCGCGACGACTGTTGTTCTGAATTGCGTGCTTGTCGGCCCCTGACCCCGACAGCTTGTCAGCGGCCCGGGGAGGGGTGGAGGGGGGGGGGGTACTCGCGGGGCTACCGTCTCCCATTGGCCCCGGGCCACACCCACCTCGCGCGAAGTTTTCCTTCTACCGCGAGCGCGCGCGCCGCTCGATCCGTTTTTTTACGTTCTCTCTTCCTGTTTTACTATTATAATATTATAATGTATTATTATTATTATTATTATTATTATTTCTTTAGTATTTATTTTATTTTTTTTCATTTCTTTCGCAGATACCTATATCATTATATCTATACGTTATGTATACATAGTACATACATATTGAGCTATATTGGATGGGTATTATACTATAATATACACTCGATATGAATGATATTGTTATAACGCTATAATTATTAAATATACTCGACACGCGCACACGCCATCGTAATAACACACAAAATCGTAATAAAGACAATAAAATGCCTATATACAGTATTAATCTACCGCAGCTAATACGACGCGATATCATAATAAAATTAATGATATCTTTCCTCTCTGCGCGTGCAGTATATTATAATGTAATAAATATTAAATATTGCAGCCCTGTTCAAATTCAAAATAAATTTAGGTATTTATTGTATATATATTTTATATGTGTATAAAAACCGCAATAGGTATATTATTATTATACTGTAGTCGGTACTTATAATGAGTATATGAATTATATATATATATATATTATATGTCTCTATATATATATATATGTACGTTTTAATCGATGACTCGATAATAGAAATAATAGTAATAAACTATTATCGTAACTAACAAAATATTTTCACGCATCGATATTGCCACATTTTTATTATTTTCATAAACTATATACTATATGCACGCTATAAAACATCCTTTATGGTTTATTTTTTCGTAGGTATATTAGGCACATGCTCCCCCTGTTGAAACAACATAAAATTTTGACCCTCTATATTACCTATAGGTACTATACTTTTTACTCGGACCTTATGATTTATGTACTTACAAATATTATACTAATACATATATATATATATATATATATATATATTATATAATGTATACACTGTTTATTCTTTAATTGCATATGAATTAAGAATATTATAAAATATTTGACTAAAAATGACAATGTATAGGTACACATTTTTTTCAATAGTTAATTAACTACAATATTAAATATATTTTTTTTTAAATTTAACTGAAGTTTTTCAAGTTTTTGACGAAAGAGTTTTTATTTTTTGTCAAAACTTTTTTTCTATTTTTTATTCTTTTTTTATAGATTCTAGAAAACTTGGTATAGTAATTTTCACTTCTTTTGATACTTTTGGAAATCACAAAATAATTTGAGGCCAACTAGATATTTCATAAATTTGAAGGTCTTTATTGTTAAATATGATGTTCGTTATATTCATAATCGTATTGTAAAATTTTCTTTTTGTTAATTACACATTAATATTTTATAAAGCATATTTAAAAAAAAAGTCACCTCCTCACTCACTCTACATGGGGAGGCCTTAATTATGTTTAATAGTTGTAGTATATATTTAACACAAGTGTGATCAAATTTTGAATGAATGCGATGGTAATAATAGGACCATATATATAATGCTATACCTATAAACAAGCAATTCATCATAAGTAAGTATCTTATTTATACTACACCTTCATGACTATATTTCTACTTATTTATATTTTGTACATAACTTACGTTCAACTTAAATCTCATCTAACTGCAGCAGTATATTTTGTACTTAAATATTAATTAATTATTTTATTTCGCTAGTTTTGATGTTATATCAATATAAATTAACCAAATGCTATATACGGCTTTAGAGTTTTCAGTATTATAAAGTTTATTTTTTATCATTAAATACTACAAAATACCTATTTATAATAAATTATAGGTAAATATCAAAATTTATATTATATTATCACTAAATAAGTACATGAATGTGAGAACCATAATGTTATTTATCACAAAAGAATTCTATACCATTTACTAATATATTATTAATAATTAGATATCTTTATATATACTTGTATTACTATAATTAACTATTATTAAATATACCTATACCTAAATATTCACTGATGCAGCACAATATACAGTGTTAATATTTATTTAAATAATATAATTTTGTTTTTAAACTTTTCAAGATAAAGCTAAGTAGGTTGGTAGGTCACAAAAATTTTTTTTGTTATTTAAAATTATTTGAATAATATAAATAATCTGAGTTATTATAATAACCGATATAAAAAATCAAGTAACATTAATATATCATACTACATCATGTATAATTCTTTAATGTATAAGTTTCTCCGCAATGTATATACACATATATAATGTAATATATACATTATATATTAATCAGGACGTCTATGTCAATAATTATTAAGTATTAAGTGTTAACACATCATTGCACGATCGAAAATGCCCTATGACCTAAAATGTCTATTATTTTAAATACACATAATATGACTTATTGCAGTTTCATGTACGTTTATATTTTCCCGAATTCCTGAGCATAATTTATTACAGGTACTGTAATCTCTGGTTCATGCAGCAGTGCACATGATGTGCATTGCAGCAAAGATAATGATAAAAATATTAATTTTATATACTATTTAATATTTATATTACATTAATTCAACGGTAACACTTATGAACGCATTTTAAGATTACCTTTAAAGCTACAATGTATTATGCAGTAAGTACGACAAAACTAAACAAACAATATTAATTGATGCAACTGTACCTACACCAAGATATATACAAATGTATATATATTTTGCTTATATGATATAAGTTTATATGAGTACAAATATTTTTGTTTACTTTTGTTTAATTTTATGTATCTATTATATAATATTCAGTATTCACTACTAAAATTATTACACATTAATGCGAAATTTTTTTTTAAACGTATTGAGTGCATTTCTATAATTGATTTTAAGACATTAACGTACATACATAATCAGTTTATACGTATGCGCAATATGCATATAGAAAAATAATATATTGATTAAAATTATAGATCAATTATATACTTATTAAGGTTGTTTTACGGTCATGTATAACTATAAAATTAAAATTACTTTGAAACTTTTATAAAGAACTAAAAATGTTATCATTAAGTGTGAAATACTTAAAAATATCAATAAACACGTTTTTCAATCGTTAAAATATAATATTAATTAATTATCTTAATTTTTTTATTGTTATAACAGTTATTCTTTTTGAAGTTTACTTGTATTTATACAATTTATTGCTGATATAATTTATAATTTCACATTAATTTGACATTGGACACAATACAAATACACCTAATTATACATACTACAATGTATAATGTAATATACAACTATATAAACTTAAGTAAATATTTTATTCACACTATTGGTATAAACTCGTTTCCATGCAGCCTATATTTTCATATTATGTACTATATTTATAAATTAAAATTTTTAAATACTGCTGCAATTGATTATTATTATTATTATTATTATTATTATTATTATTTATTAAAAGATTAAAATTGTATTCAAACAAATACAATGTATAACAATTTGTTGATGTAATGTTTGTCAATAGTTCAAACAACAAATTAAACTAGAATAAATATTAGGTATACGTATTTGTGTATATTTGTGTACATAGATTTAAGTTTTCTAACTAAATACGAAGACATTCTCATTTAACAAGTGTGAAAGATTTGTAAGTCGACTCTAATGATACTAATTTGTTGGGAGAATATTTTTACATGAATGACTTATAATTATGCAGCAGAACCTGTACATATATTTATATATTATACATATATATGTATTTTAAATACTTAAGTTTTAAAAATACACTGGGCATTATAGTTTATTTTGAAATTTTTTGAATATTCATACAAATTTATAATTTTCATTTGTGTATTTATAATATGTATATATATATATGCATATTAACTAATATTATATTATTTTTAAAAAGTTTTGATTCAAATAAAATTTAGTGGTCCGACGTATTGTCAGTGGCGGATCCAAGGGGAAGGGGTTAAAAGGGTAAATACCCCCTCCCTTGAGCTTAGCTTAGGTACTCATTACCCAAAAGAATTACGCGATAAACTGTCAATCGGGGCTTGGCATGAAGATTTATTACCTCCCTTGATAAATTTCTGGACCCGCCCCTGCGTTTGGTAAATTTTATACAATGTATCTATATAATAAATCCTTTAATAATTATAACTATTTATAATACAAAATAAATATTAACTCATGAGTAGCTCAAAAGAGATATTATGTAAAAATCGGACAACAATTATTATGTTAGACGTCATTAAACAGTTATTAATTTATTAAACGTATACTTCTATCAACGCGATTCGTCGGTCGTCTCACTTCGTTCATCTTGTAAGACACGAAAATTATTCTATTCAAAAAACAACTCGGCGCGAACAGTATAAATATTATGGTGATCAACGTAATACACATGAGTCATGACCGTCAATAACTATATAATGTCTTTAGTATCTAGAAATCATACTCATATTTTTTTCTAAAACTATTATCATTAACCATATAATATTTTTGGTTCACTAATAATAGTTCAATAACTTAAAAACTACTTGTTAGAATTCAAATTAAAATCAATATTTTTGACAACAAAATTAACTGTTTAATAATTTATAAAAATAGAGTAAACGTAGCGTGCTATTTGGTATTTTCTCCACTGCACAAAAAACATGATACATTTACACCCATGATTTCAAAATGTTGATTAAAAAAAATGTATCAACGAGGTTGCTATTCATTATAAATCATTGGTTTCTAAGGGTAACCTTACGAAAAAAATTAATGGAATTCAGATTTTTCAGCTCTGTTTTTTTTATTTGTATAGTAACGTGAATTAATTGTTCATTGGTTGGTAGGAGCAACTTATATAGATAGGCAATAAACACTATCCTTCACTATATACTGCGAAATTACAACACTATTACAACAATATTAATTCCATATTTGTCATTATTTGGTTGTTATGACAATTACAACGGTCAGATGAAAATCTAGTATTCAGCTCAAAATGTCATAATAATATAATATGTATAATGTATACGATATAGTTTACCTATGGCATACATTAAATCTGAATTAAAACATTATACTTGGCTCGTTAATTTTTTTAAATGTGACCTATATATTTTTCAACCATACATAAAATAAGACAACTTACGCTCAATTATTGAATTAATTTGTATGTAAAATGTAAAAGCATTTCTATTTTAAGTATGGAATATATCACAAATATCAATAACTTTTTAAATAAAATATAAGTAATTTTCTTAGAAGAAAATTATTGATAAAAATCCTGTAAACAATGTTTTCCGAATACTGAATAGTATGTGGGTTTATAGCACGGCAAAAATTCGAAGTGTATAAGCTAACGTAATTCTGTTCATATCTCAAAAAATGTAGAAGCATCATTACTATGTATAGTCAAGAAAGATATAGTCTGCAGGGTATTACAATCAAGTCAGAGTGTACTTGTGTTTTTTCTAATTTTTGGTAGACCGCATATACGCGGAAAAAAATATTGTTTTGTAAATTTCCATACTTAATTTTTTTTTAACGAATTGGACCACATTTTATCTACCCAAAAAAAAAAAATAAATAATATTTGTTTACATTTTACTACCTACCCGGAGATTTGGCCACAAATGTATAATAATACAGGAATATACGAGTAGGTATATATAATGTTTTTTAACTATTTTTTTTTTTATACATAAAAATACAATTTTTTTTAAACAAAATGGCACGGGTATTACAAATTCAAATCTCTTTTTTTCTCCTTCTTGGTATTTTTTAATTTCATTGAGAATATACATTTTTCAAATTAAAGTTCGTTTTCTGGTTTTTATTGTTCTCACGCTTTTAATTTTAATTTAAACTTCCGATTGAACTCCCAATAAGACATTTGAAAAATTATGAATATTTGAATGTGATATAAAAAAAACGAATTTTAAAATGCAAATGAAAAGATTCGACGGCATTTGTAGTTCGAGTAATAGATTTAGACCGTAACGCCCATATATGCGGAAGGAAATTAATATCATCATAAATATAGGTGTCAAGAATATAATCTGAAAATGTTGTTAATTAACCGAATTGTAGATACATGTAATATTAAATGTGGATAATATATAGTTTGCACTCATCTAAACAATCGCGATGTTTTATAATATTTGTAAATTACGCTTTTGGCTAATTTTATCCATTTTATTCGGTGGCGGCCTCTACCAATTCTTTATCATTTGATATTGGATAATTTATTACCTTTTTATAAGGCACGCGGTCGCTTCGAATAAAGTTTCGTGTGCACTGAAGTGTTAGGTATTGTTGCGATTTAATATATGTGACACGCTTTATGCCAAATATTATTTCATTAAAATTTAATTGTGGCCCGATTACCGTATACGGCGTATACAACAATAAAAAATGTTGAAAAAATAATGGCCCAATCACCGGTTTTACCTATTATAAATGTAAAACAGAAGTGACCCAATTACTACCGTGTATACCTTTTTGGTAAAAGGTTAATCGTGGCCCGATTTCCGGGCGCCCATTTCCAGACGTACGTGAAATAGTAATTTCGCTTTATTACTTGATAATTATTATTGACTACTGTAGCAATGGTACATGGATGGTACCATCAGCTGTTCGAATATAGGAATACTATTTTAACACAAACATTCGTCTCTATGGTTCCGACACGTCGGCTGCATACGTATTGCGTCCCGATATAAAAATTGCGATTTGTGACATACTAATTGCGTCCCGATAATATTTAACAATTACTAGGTTTAATTTGCAATTACACGTATAACAAAAAACTGTGAAGCTTTCTGTTCAAATTAAACGGTACCTACGTTTTATTCTTTCCATCCAAATATCTACAAATTTATTGATGTACTTACAAATGCACGAAAAGATATTTGCATAAAAGTTTGCAGTAATAGTCAAATGAAGAACATATTAAGACGTGAAATATGTGGAAAACGAGAATTTAAAAAAAAAGAAATGATTAAATACGACGTGAACGAAATAACACGTTTTGAATTTGTCAAAACTGTATCGTTCACATTTTTACCGAACCATAAATAATATTATAATAACATATTCTTTAAAACTTAGTTACTCATATAAATATATTATAACTATTATAAATTTTTTTACTTATTCTTTTATTTTTGTATTTAACGGCGAAAATAATACTTTTGATGTACATAACTACGAAACGATAAAAAACAATATTTTTAACTTACCTTTAGCAATATAGTATTTTTAATATTTAATGTTGCTATTGACAGTTCTAGGTCTACATTAAATGGGAAGGAAAATAATGTTAAATACATCGAATGCAATTAGTTTAGTTATTAAATATTATCGGGGCGCAATTCGTTTACACCTATCGATTGGTATACTCCTTGATATACCTGTATATTTATGATTAAATATCAATATATATTCGAATATGTTTCTCAGCCGATGATTCGCAACCGCATAAGAGCTGTTATAGCGTATGTTAATATAGTACCTATTGATAGACACTAGACAGTAAGGTCGCTCTGAATGAAAAAAACCCAAATTAAATACGTAAATACTCGTACGTTATAGAGACGTATTACCTTCATATTATTAATCATTGTGATAATAAACATGATAAAATATATAAAACAAAGAACAGCTCCCTCCGTTATTTGAATTGTTGTATCAACGCTTCAGCACTTTTTAGTGAAATACGTAACGTCGCAATGCGAGTTAGGTTAGGCGTAAAAAAAAACATTTCTGTAACACTTAATGCTCTGTTTTTTTTTTTCTGATATCCAAAAACAGCACACGCTTATATTTTGAAACATAAATGCGTTATTTCACTGCAATGAAAATCTAATGTATTCAAGTAATGTGTGTGGAACACCAAAACCACGTACACTGCAATAATATTATGTAAATCTAGATTTCATGTTTCTAAATATAATCATTACTATTAATATTAAATTAATTAAGAATAACTGCTTAAGTTACTTTTGAAATTTAAAGTATAATTATCAATTATAGAAGAGTGTGTAATAGATGAATTTAAATCAATAAACTTTCTATTAAAGAATTTATTTTTAATCGCATTAATATGCAATTTAAATAAAAACCTATACCCATATAAAATATATTACTTTGTGAAACACCTAATTATTAACTATTATAAAATAGTTATTGATTTCTTATAACTATGCATTGTATTTTCGTGTAATTTTATTTATTTTATTACTATATCTACGTTGATCAGAAATTAATATTATATAATAAAATAAGTAAATAATGTTTTTATTTTCCATTCATATGATTAAATTACCTAGGTACATAATTTTTCATTACTAAACGAGATTCTTAATAATAATTAAACACTTATAGGTAATGATTAATGAACTTACCTACTTATAATTTCTAGCACCGTTTTTTGCCATTGATTCGTAGTAGTCCTCAAACATTATTTTCACCGGTAAATACACAATAATTAATACAATAATACACATGATTAAAGTATTTTATAATAATTATTGGCTTGAAAAATCATCAAAAAATATTTCTCTTCATTTTGTGATGTATGTTTTTAGGAAATATTCAGGAGTATATGAATGGACTTGATAAATATATTTTGTTTCTATTTCTACGAACAAAGAAAAGGAATTACTATTTTGATTTAATAAATAATAAGAAACAACCACATTTTTATATAGTCATAATACAAAAAAACTGTAATTTATTCAATCATTATACATCGATGCTAATACTGATTAATATTCAAATCCAAAAATGTACGTGTATTTTACAAGACGTGTTATGTTGTTGGTTTTCCCATTAGGATGAGATCTAAAGAATGCACAGCCTTAAAATTAATTTGAAGTACTCACAATTTACACACTATATTTACAATGATAATAATAATAATAATAATAATAATACAAATATATTTTAAAAAAGAAGGTAAAAAAAAATTAAGTCTCCTACTCGCAGTAATATGGGTTATATATATATATATATATATATATATATTATATACATATATTATGCGTAATAACTATAATAATAAATATTTATTTTTAAACTATTCTATACTATAATAATTATATTAGCAAATCACTTATTTTTTATAAAAAAAAGTAGTTTTAAAACAAACATATATATAGTAGGTTTAACCAATGTATAATCTTAAATTAAAATTAATTAAAACTATTATTGGACTTAACTAAATTAATATTTAATTGTTATTAGTTTATAATTTATAATATGAAGAATAGATAATATTATACCTATTCTGCATATATTATATATTTTATATATTTTGCTTAATTATCTACTAAACTAAACTATTATTTAATAATATTTTTACAGAAAAAAAATTATTCGTTGTGCTTTCCAACGTCTACTATTTTAACTAGAATGTTGATCGTCATGATTATCAACACTGCTTTGTGGTTGTAGGCATCCTCTGTAGAGTTCACCATTAAGGCGCAAAATAAAGGGTCTAGTGTTCTTCATTCCTACAATAATTATTAACGGTAAAATTTTATTTAAAATATGAATGAATATTAATTTTTCAAATTTCTTATAAGATTTTTAAAAATGCATTGATCATATACTTTGATCTTCATTTAATAATAACATGTACTTATCTAAAGAAGAACATTTTATGAACTCAGATATGAATTCTATCATATATCACGTATGAAATATTTAAATAAATTTCAATTTACCTCCATTTAACTCTGACTCGACTTTGATAAGTTGACCTTTGTAAATCCCGTGTTTTGTTCTTTTACAGACGTTTATTTTGAGTCCGCTAGGCGTGCCTAAACATCAAAAACAAGACCCTTAATAAAATTGAATTAAAATAATATAATAATAATACTATAGTAATGTATATTATTATATTAATATATTATAACATATTATTACGTTCTATTAATTATATAAATAATTATATGCTACACTATATATTAAATGCATACCTTCATATACATATATGCAAATAATCATTAAAATATTGATTTTTATAAATTTTAATTTTTAATTCTAATTGTGGATATAAGAACATCAATATTTTTTTATGAAAATAATTCACGAACAATACAAAAGAAATATTTTTTTAAATAAACTATAAATATTATTTGTTTATTTCATGAGCAAAGCTAATCACAAAATTTATTATAACTTTTTTTGTCAAAAAATTTTTTTTTCTTGATCATTCTTAACTTAATTTATCGTAAATAGTTGTGCATATTATAATATTTATAAGTGTATGTAAATTAAATTAGTTTTTAGGTCGTTGAATTGCATAGGGAAAATTATGCCCCACAAAGTTCTATTCGCCGTTTAATTATCATAAGGATTTATGCATACACATTAACCGAAATCATTAACATAGAATTATTATTTTACATTTAAATATTAATTATTATTACGAGAAAATAATGATTACATGTCTATACACGAGAATAAAACTTAAGAAATTAAAATCGTTTCGCATTCTAATACATACTGAAACGAAAACATTTATACTCTACAGTAGTCTTCAAATTACTTTTTTGTCACGTATTACATACCAGGACATAAATTTTTGTATTAATCGTAATCATTTATCATACTCAACATCTCAAAATAATATATTTTTATCATATAATCTGTAATCAATTATTTTTGAAATTTACTTTATAAAATTGTACGTATTAAATATATATTATTACGTGCAAAATATTAAAATAATACGGAGCCATATATTACCATGTATTATTAAAATATTAACGAGAATGTCCTTAAAAAAAAAATTAAGATTTTTCAAAATGTTTGTACGAAATACAAATACTTAAATGACAAAAAAAATATATATTTCAAGTTCTATCCTAATAAAATCTAAGATTTTTGAAATTTTATAATTATGAATATATTTTACGCTATTATTCCTATAAAAATGTAAACTTAGTTTTGAAATTTGCACTACACTCCATCCTACCTAAAATTACATAATTAAAAATGTCTAATACGGTCAGTAACAGGTCTCACCAGCCTATTCAGCCTACTTTAATATTAAAAGTAATTTTTATAATTTTTTTTTTTTTTAATCTTATTTTGAATTTCATACAACATATATACCCTCCAATAGTCCAATATCCATATAATTGTATTTATTTTCTACGGATATTATTAGATGCTATCTAAAAAAAATCCTTTCCTTTCTTCCTATATGTATAATATATTCCAATAGATACACGTAATCTAGTCCACGGGGGTGAATTAAATCAATTACAATATATCTGAATGGAGCAACACGAATACAGCATATTTATAACACATGTTTGTGATTGCGTATTATACATAATTAAGCAGTATTTTATACGGCATGTGAAAAAAAAATTGATTTACATCGGTCGAGGAATAATTTCGTTGGGAAAATATAAAAAATTTATCCTTATCTTATATACTCATTATAGAGAAATCACACACTTACCGGCCGTCACGTTGATATCCATTTCGATCGTACCGTTGCTGTCCGTTTCTTGGTCGTCACCATTTCGTTCAGGCGATGTAGCTGCCTCCCGTATGGGGCTGCTTGCCGTTGGCGCCGGAAATGGTTCAGGGCTTGCTTTGGGGCTGGCGGAACGACTAACCACGATAACTCGTGGCGACCGTTCCTTCTTGATGCGTTTTTGATCCGGTTCGTCCTCGTTTTCACCCGCGTTGTTGTTGTTCGTCCCTTGATCCTTTTTGCCTAAATTCAACGCTTCACACTGTTCTGGCCCGTTATTCGAATGCAACGCGACCGGAGACTGACGTTGCAGATTCATCGCAGCTGGTACTGTGGCGTATGGTGACGGGTTGCATGCTTGTTGCAAGTCTACGGGGTAGACAGAAAAAAAAAATGCCAAGCGCGTTAATATCGTGAAAAGTTCGGTTATCGCTGTACTACATAATATATATAAAGACTACAGTTGTATTGCGTAATATTTTATTATTATATTGGTATGAGTGTATAATGGATTTGAATTGTTAACGGTAGTAAAAATGATTAACTATATACAATTTAATTTAATTCCAACGAGATTTACATATGTTTTATATTTTTAAACACAACGATCGGAATTTGTATGCGTTAACACAATATGGACATCTCGATGAATCTTGAAAACTATGTTTTTATTCGTACGTTATATAATTATTATTATTATAAATTCTGCTTTACGTGAAATAAAATTTATATTTATCGAAATATATTTAAAAATTCATATTGTGTTTTTAGCACAGGAATACCGTTTTTATACTTAAAATATGTACTTTCTCGCACTTCCTTTTATATAGTGTAAAAATAAGCGATATACCATTGCAAATCGAAGCTGTGTAATTGTCAGCATTACCTACTGTTCGTCAAACTTTACCTAATATATTATGTAAATTATGTTACAATTTTAATTTAAAGTTTAAACAATAAAAAAGTCATAAGAGAAAAAATATCGGAATATCGGATGAAAATATATTCTATTTTTGTAAAATTATTTTGCTTACGCCTACCAAACAATAGCTTCTTTTTAAATACTAAAGATATAAACGCTTGAAAACTCTCTAAAAATGTATATAATCTTAGCCTTAAGTAAAATATGTAGTAAATAGCTATAATTAATATTAAAAACTTGTATAACATAAATTTATAACAAGTAGTAACAACTGGCACAAGAACTGTTTTAGTCTAATGTAAGAAAAACATGAATAGGTACTACACAAATATTTAAACTCACTTTGTATTGAAAGTCTTGGAATAGCTGTTTGATTAACTCTCATTAAATCCATCCACATCAACATACTGAGAATTTCTGAAAAAAATACGATTTATGATTAGATATATTAGATATTCAATTGGTTTAACTTATTATTTTTATTTTACTTAATCCTGTAATGATGTTTCTTTATTAATTTTATTATACTTTGGTTACATTTAAAAGAACTGCACCTTTTATAGATTAATTGCAAAAATAAATAGCTGAAAAAAAGAAAATAGACTATGATATGATTTATTTCGAGGCATTATTACTCATATTGTGTTTGAACTTGCGCATTTGCATTTGTTTGACAAACAATATTCTATAATCTATTGCGAACAGCATCGCATTAATCAAATCAATCGTCATAGTGAGTTCACAGTATATAGGTATATAATATGACGATATGGTATTGCAATAACTTGTTGTAAAATGCGATAATATTATAAATCGCACATCAATTAATTCAAATTACCAGCCGGTATGAGCGTTCAAAATTCGTATGGGAGATACGTATATTATTATGACGGACACGTCTGCAAAAAAGACTCCGCACACCTAATCTACTCAAAGTATGAAAACCAAAAACCATATAGATACTCATAAATACTTTGAAGCGTACTATGAGCATTGAGCATATACGTGTACTATGTATATTATAATATGTCCACGAGAATAAACCATCTTCGTGAAAAAAACGGCGGCAACGACCTTTTCCTATACAATATTACGTAGCGTTGGCGGCGGGTGCACAATGACGGTGCAGGTAATAATTAATAACACCTAACGGAGCCGCGCGTGTAAAATCACCGAAAATAATAATTTAATGTTCACGTCCAGAAAATAATAATATGTCGTCTCGTCATCATATGCATTGAACTACGACGTCCTGAGCATTATTATCGCGGCAGTACTATTATGTGAATATGGTATTTAAGACGAATTCGGCGGATTAAACATTTTTCTTTTTCTTTATTTTCCAGTCGGTCAGTCATCCGGTGACGTCTGGAGCGGTTGATACGTGCGGTGTACAGTGTGCATTTATTATATTATTACGATTGTAAAACAGCGCGCGAGTCGTGAACAAGTGTCGGTAATTTGTTACGTTTTTTTTTTTTTTTCTTATATGTACGAACACGAGTTTTTTTTTTTCTCGAAATAATAATTATTATACGAATACGTTCGTTTTTATATACACAGGTAGGTATTATAATAAGAACGAACTCGAACGCGCGCGCGTGTTATATTATATATATATATATATAAGAATATATGATACTATGATACGACGACAACGACGACGACAGCGGCGGTGGCGGCGGCAACGGTGGCGGCGGGACTTGCATGGTGGCGGGTGTAAAAGAAAGAAAAACCAACAATGTATAATATTATGTATCCATGTTGAATATTTAAATATCAAAAGGCGCACGTATTATATTATTATTGTGTTATGGATTCAAACGAACACACGATGTCACGGTGTAAATTGATTTATTCAAAAACAGCTACGGGAGAGATGTATACACATCACGTCGCGCGCGTATCAAAAGTGTTACACGCATATACATATTAATATAGGCAGGTACCAAGCTGGATATTATGCGTGAGTACGTACATTTAATATTATATATATAAATATATATATATATATATACGCACACACACACATACACAATGTGCTAGCGCGCGCGTGTATATTATATGTGCGAGATATTCGTCAGACGACGATAGGAATAGGAGCGGGAGGTGGAATGCAGCCAGACCGTAGTAAAAAATAAAAAAAAAAAAAAAATAAATTAAAATAAAAGCCGCATTTACAACACAATGTGTAAGTAAATTGATAACATTGACGAATGTCCCCGCGCCCGTTCGCATCAGATACGGTCGTCGGACTGTACATTATATGTTATTATTATTATTATTATTATTATTACCACGACAGTGTACACGACCCGAGACCGGAGACCGGAGCCTGACGGCTTTGGCCGAATATAAAACGTTGTATACCGTATAGGTAGTAGGTAAGACTATATGTAGATATATAATATTATGCCTATATATATATATATATATATATATACGATATACCGAGTCTTACTTCCTGTATGCACGCGCACACGCACACGCACACACACACACACACACACACACACACACACCACACACATACACGCCGTGTATATGAAAATATAAGCCGTTTTTCTAACGCGAAATAATATCGTATACAGATATCATATCGTAAGAGATTTATAATATGTAATATGTAATGAGATCGAAATAATATTGTCGTATTATAATATATATGTCGCATCCACACAGTGAAACTATTTATTTCATGAACTGTATATCCAGATAGTGAAATTCGTCCAAATTGTAAATTTTAACGAAAATACATTATAATATGGACATCCTTTTCATGAAATGGACAACACCTATACCTAATGTGTACTTTGTGTAATTATTATAAAACAATTATTTTTGTTATTATTACTAATAAATGATTATTATATTATACATAATTTTACATTACATTTTATAAACGACAGTGTTATACCTATAAAGTGTTATTATAAAATAACACCTATTCTTATTATTAATTTTTGAACGATGATCGATTATGACTATAACATACGCCCTAGACACCCTCAAAGTCAAAGAAGTATTGAAAGATCTAATCAGGATGTTATAAACATGGATGGCTAATAACAAATCCAAAATGCGAGACATTGGATTAAATTTTGTTTAATTTCAAAAAAATAGTTCATTTCATCGACATATCATTTAAAAATCTTAATTCGGAAATGACCCAAAAGTTGGACAAATTAAATCAAATTTACCATTTGATCAGTTGAAAAAATTAACAATGGAAGATCTCGAGCATACATCTCAAATAAAAGAAATCGAAAAACGCTTAATTGCCTACAGCATTTATAAAGTTGAAAAAAGAATGCTATTATCAAGGGTTGCTAAAAATAATAAAATTATCTGCAAATTATGTGATTCAAGTAAGGAAATAAAATTTCGTGGACGTGGACTCAAAAGTCAAGTTATAGCTGCAAAGAAAATGATCAAGATAGATAAAGGAATACGGTAAAAATGTTCTTATAGATCTTATTTTAATTTTTTTTTTTAATAGAGAAACAAAAAAAAGTGCCGGGATTTTAAAATGAATCGATGCGCGTTGTATTCGGAGTACCAAAAGTTGGTAGAGACCTATAGATCCATCAAATATAAATTGTGTGATCACAAAACAAAAAGGAATGTTTGAAAAAAATTAATAATTCAATTTGTTATTTATGATCAATTTCATAGAATGCTGAATTTTCAGCGCCAGAAATTATAAAAAAATTTCAGAAGGGCAAGGATTTTTGTCTCGTTCGTGTAAGGCAAAATCTCCTTGCCAATTAAGTCTGCGGAGTGCATATTGTTTTAAAAATAACATGCTATATAAATATAATAGTCTATGTCATAATCAATTGTCGTGAAAAATAAATAATAATAGGATATTATTTAAATTATACTATTTATAGGTAACATTTCCATTTATAAAATATAATATACAATTATATATTCGTATATTATAATAATATATTGTATTATATTTTATTATATTTTTTATTCATTTTTTTTTTTCATGAAAAATAAATTAAAATATGATATATATATATATGGGGTATAAAAAATTAATAAAAATATAATATAATATAATTTATCGATAAATAACAAAAATAATATTGTTTTGTAATAATTACACAATATAGGTATTGTCCGTTTCATGAAATGGATATCCATATAATGTATTTTCGTTAAAATTCGCGATCCGGTAGAATTTCACAATCTGGATATTCAATTCATGAAATGAGTAGTTTCACTTCGTAGTGCGACAGCCGACATATACATAGATGATCGTAATTACATGCGATTGGACAAAATTTTTTTATACGTGTATTATACAGAGTGATTCTTTGAACACTGATCATATTACACACAGTCATTTTTTTGGTAATTCAGTGGTTTCGAGAAAATTTTTTTTTAAATACATTTTAGATAGGTATAGGTTGATTTTTTGAAAAATTTTATTTCTTACAACTTTTACTAGTCGTGGTTGTTTTTTATTTTACAACGTATATATTTTTAATTTAATGAGCCAATAGTTATTATCATAGTCATTATCACCTTATAATAAGCAGTGCGTAAATAAAAACATGTGTCTTTAAGCATTGTAAATGTTGCTATCATAATAATACTAAAATTTACATAAAAGAAAAGCGCCTTGTACCTGTAATATGTATAATATAAAGATATAAATGCTTAGTGGCTATTAGTAGACATCAGTCATATTATCACGCCGTGAAAAAATTCAACGTACACTAATTATAATTGCATGCGCAAACATTGCGCTGGTGTCTTTTCATAATATTCGTACGGTATTATGGTCATTGTAACGGAGGAGAAATAAGAAAGTCATAAGTATACATAAATACCACCACGCTCTGTGCAATCGTTGGACAAGCATTGCTAAGTGATGTCCACATATTATTAGCACCATATCATTATGTGAGAATGTGAAATAATATTGTATCATAAGTAACAATTAATATAATCATTCTTTTGCAGCTGAGATCTCAGGACAATCTTAATATAGCGCCTAATCAAAAAAGAAATACAAATACCTACATATACTAGCATATAAGAAACAATACCATTTTACTTTTTAGTATGTTAAATTATGAATCGTAGGTGCTTTGAGTGATTTCTTCGTATAATTAAGATTTATATATTATTTCAAATATATATACAAAATATATTTAAGACATTTAATTCCATTAATTTTTTTTTTTTTTTTTAACTTAAATAAATTTTAATATTCCAATCATCGTTTCATACATTTTATATTTACTAAAATATCGTAGATTAAAAACAGGTATGTAATAAAGAACGATACACGCATTAAATTCAGTATTAGTTAAAATACATATTTGCTAAACAATATAACGTAGGTTTCAGCTATTTTTTTTTTTTTTTTTATTATTATTATTAAATCAACATAGTTAAATTTTTGGCTGATTCCTTTTCTGACAAACATACATAAATGAAAACCTGAAATGCTATCTTTAGTTTTGTTCATTTCTTATAGCGAGTTGTCTTTTAATAATAGTATATTAATTTATTTTCTACCTTTATGGCTGACATTAGAATTTCGCTTAACTTCTCTTTCACTAATGAAGGGCACTTGATGAATGAGCAAAGCTCTAGGGAAAAAATGTATAGAGAAAGACAGAGAGAAAGAGAAGTAGAATCATAGATGTATAAAGTTGGTGAGAGAGTGAGTACGAGAGATAACATCGTATAATAAAATTAGAACACGTCATAATAGTTTTTTTTGCTTATTCTTGGTAACGTTTCAAAAATACATTAAAACAGAATGAATAGATACACAAAAATGTTATATATACACACATTTAAAAGTAGCATAAAGGTGAAATTATTATTTAGAAATGAAATTGAACATTTTTATTTTTGGGGCCGCGTCAGATGGACACACCTGTCAAGGGGATTGTAGTTAGTTGTCAATGTGTTTACCAATTTCCCGCTTATCCTTTTCTTGGCACGAAACTATTCCGTATTATAAAAACAGAAAATAAAAATGTCACAAAGTTTATAGAAAAAAGCAAAATAAATAAATACAAATCCAAGAAAAAACAAATGCTCGTTCTATAAACTACGATTGACTTACTGTAATTTCTAAAAGTACTGTTTAAACAACACAAAATCCGTAAAGGTGTAAAATAGTCATGATAGTGTTTAACATTTTCTAAATATAGTAGTATTATTTTCTGTATTACGATAAAATTATAACCACTTTTAAAATCTTACTTTTTCAGGTCTCTCTGTTATATATAATTATACTAACAAAAATTCAGTATTTTCTTGGTGTGTTATATATACAACGCAACATTTGAAAAAAAAAACATATGAACTGTTCTTTCTAATAATATGATTTATCTGGATAGTTTTACAATAGAAATGTATATAGGAAAAACAATATTTAAATCTGTATTATAATCTGGGCTTGATATTTAAATTAATTTATTCGTCATTAAAAACAGTTGAGATGAAAAAAACTTAAAGATACAATACTTTCTATAGGAAGCGTGATGTTTTAAATTGTATAAAAAATATTATAATACCTAAAACAGTAAAAAGAAAGTATGGAGTTATTTTTTTATTTGTATATTTAATGTATGTCCATTTAAATTAACAATAATCTTATTTAACGAACGAACTCTCGCCTGTACCCATTATACATACCTTCCTTTTGTAATGAGATATTTAAAATAAAACATGACTAATCAACAATAATTTACCAAATGAATATAGCCAATCAATGATTATTAAACATTCAAAACTATAAACAATTAATGAAATTAAGGACTTTAGACAAAATAAAATTCGAATTCCAACAAACATAGAAAAAATAAGTTAAAAATTACAAATTCAAATCACAACATACTATTAATATTTAGCTAAATATACCGTTTATGTAGAAATATAATATTATGTGTTGCATATTATATTCAAAAGATATGGGTTTTTACTGACTTATATGTATTTAATAACGTCTATGTAAATCCGTCATTATGTCTTACTGGCAAACTCAATTAAAACGAAAGAAATAAACCAAGTAATTTGGAATACTATATATTATGTATTTAATTGAGATAAACATCTCGTGGAAAAAATTCTAATTATAAATTATTATAAAAGTTTCCTAATATTGCAACCAAAGATTATTATTAGTTTGATGAGAAAAAAAAATAATAATATATTTATCAGCTAAACTTGATTTTATAAACACGTTTTAGTCTTTCCGGAAAATTTTTCTTTTTTGAGATACGACCTATTAGTAGAGTCGCCCATCGACGATATTATATTATACGAAAAAAAATTTAAATAAAAATATTTGCATTTATCATTGTTGTTATATTTTGTTAGAGCACATTATTTCAAAGGATAAATTTCGAACACTTTACGAGGATTTATAGTATCGAACAGATTGCCGGGACATAAAAATTGTCTGCTTTAAATCAATAAAAACGATTATAACTAAGCGAAACGAGCGATTGATTATAATAATAACATTACCTCTCTGTTTGCTGCCGTGGTCACCGGCGGCCGCTACCTGGTGTGCCGCAGCGGCCATCATGGTGGCCGATTGGTACGGCGGCAGTTGTAGCTGGTGGCCGTTGAACAACGGCGACGATTCGGCGGCTGCGGACGGCGGCGGCTGTGGCTGTAGTTGGGACAGCCGTTGCATCGGACTTCCGGGCCGCGGCGGCGGCGGCGGCGGAGGCGACGACGAAGACGACGACGACGGCTGCTGTCTGCCCTGTTCCGTGGCGGCGCGGTGTCTGTTGTTGTCGATGATGGCGGCGGCCAAGTGACGGAACCGATCGTCGGCGGCCAGCACGTTGGCGTAGTGCTGCTGCTGCTGCTGCTGCTGGTGCTGCTGGTGATGGTGCTGCTGTTGCTGGTGACCGTGGCCGTGCGCCGCCGGCGGCAGTTGGCCGTGGTGGTGCAGATGGCCGGCCACCGTGGTCGCCGGGTGCGCGGGCATGTACTCGGACATCAGAGACTTGTTCCGGCGGCCCTCGCGCCGGTTGCCCGCTATGGCCATGTTCAGTTCGTCCACCGTGCTGAACTGATTCATTTTCGACTCGTACGCGTACAAGTACTTGACGTATCTGCAAACGGTATGCAGGTTTAGTGTAACTGCGTTACGAAGCGGTGTGTGCGCGCGTGGCAATCCCTCTCCACCCCTGCCGAGTTGGGGGCCGATATTTATTAAAATCAATGTCCTCGGAGTTAAGCTCCTGAAATGTGATATGTGGCCTGAATTGTACACACGGGTGTTGTATTGTTACTTACGAAATTTTTCGAAAATATGTGACAGTGATAAGTGATAACCTGTCATCCGTACCTACAGTTATTTGTAATATAAAAATTAAAAATCGATTAAATTATATTGATAACTATACATAAACGTTCATAGTGATTTACTTGATTTTTTAGAACAGGGCATAAACAAAAAAAAAAAGGGGGGTCCAAAAATGCTATGCTGTATAATAGTAATAGGCGCCACGCAATTATAATAGATTCAAATCTGCGCGCACGCCTATTTATGTGGTGCACTATTAACGGTGTATGGACAATATTATTAATACGGTGGTATAACTGGTAAGTATAGGTATATGTTAAATAATGATATAACGCCGGTCGAGAGTCGTCAAACCGTTGGTGGTGGGGGGGGGGGGGGGGGGGGGGGGGGGGGGGGGTGTTTGGCAAAGTATGATATTTGAATCAAATCTTCTTCAGTAGACGTCTGTTATAATACTATATAATTCGGTTCATTAAACGTTTTTTCTACTGTTTCAGGTGTACTATGCTACGGGTACAGCTGTACTTTCCACTTGTTAAAATCTGTTAAAACGAAATGTTAATAATATACGTCTATTCAACAATGTTCGTCAACAAATCGGTTTACACTGCACGGCTTCTATCCATCGTGTGGCATAGAAAATTGCTTGTGCTTCTTTCTCCCTCTATGTGCAGTATATATATATGTCACATCATCAAAATTATATTATGAACTGTGTTCTGTGTGAAATGAATTATTATGGTTTATTTACGGTTAATAGTTTTCATAATTCATTACATTCATAATAATTCATTATGATATTCATAACCAGCATTTATAATTCTGTACTGTATATGTTCAAAATAATAAAAAATGTAATTATAAATATTGTTACGCTAAACGTTTGTCTAGATGACGGAACTAGTTCTGTTATGTGTAGCTTAGATAACCATTTCGTGAAATGTTGTCCAGATACCGGAATTACGCGAAGTGGAAAAAAATCGTTTCCGTTTCGCGAAGTGGGTATAAACTGTATCCATTTCGCGAAACGTACAATTACGCGATATGGATGTGACATAATATACATAATATATATGTATATAAGCTATTACATGTACTCTATTGTTTATATGGTAATTAACTTTTGTTTTCACCAAAATAATATCAATAAAAAAACATATTTAAACTTTATGCTTGCATCCGCCGTTTTTTTTTTTTTTAAATCAATATTAGTAAGAAATTGTTAAATTTATAGTTTTAGATTTTTCAAAATATATATTTCTTGTATTACAATCAAAATACTAAAAATACTATGACACAATTATTAATTTATACTCGTCTCTAAATATATTGAATAGAGTATTTTCAAGTAGTTAAAATTTATATGTGTTGAAAAAGCAAAATCCCCCGTCCTCCCAAAACGTATGTATGTAAATCCGAATTTTGACGACTATAGTACATCTCAATCAATGTAAGTACTTCACTCATATCGATATCTATAAAAAGCGACTTATACAAATACCCACCGCGATTTAACGGAACAGTTAACAATATAAACGATATAGGTAATAATATGTACATTATATTATATTATGTATATTATATGTTGGTAATTTAGATTTCAAAAATCATATATTATATGTGCTCCAAAGTATACAATAATGCTAATGTGTGTTTTAGCTATTATATGTATAAATAAAATATAATAATAGATTAGGTATAGAAAAAAAACGTGTATGTTTAAAAGGGACTGCGCTCTGATAACATGTTGTGCTACATTCAATGGAATACGTTCCGTGGAATCGTACAACTATTATTGTGCTGACTAATCCTATAAATTCATAATAATTTATAATATGTTTCATAAACGGTGCAAAATAGTATGCCGAGCAATTACCATTTGAAAAGCGATGCATTATAATTTTAAATAATGTATACCATTCACCCGCGTTCATAATGATTTAATACATCGTCGTTTATATTTCATAGGTATATTATATATTTTTATATACTTACTGTGTTCTCAACGTAAAAGCCGCGCTGGTGATGGAAGGCGGTAAGCCCAAACCTCGGATTATCTCTTGCCACAATTTTTTAGTAATGACCGCCACGATTCCTCCTCTTTGTACGACTAATTTGTACAGCGTGTACAGATCCAACACACGTTTAGCCATAATGGGTAGTCGGCTTATCGGAGTCCCTGAAAATCGCGATACACACAATTATTGATCGTTACACATGCAGCGTACATATAAATGCAGAATTCATATAATTTATTATAATATACAGTTTTACTCAAATGTTATAATGTTGTGTGTTTATGTCTGGGAGCGTGCGGTGAACGACGTTTTGTTTTAAGGCAGTTTATAAATTGTATTGGCCACGTTTACGTACAATATTATTCGGAAATAGGGAGTACGAGTATTTAATATAAACTCATTTGGCAGGTTTTCTTTGCATAATAATATCTTAACCCGATAAGTAATAATTACCTTTGTAATAGCATATACAACAGATATTATATCATCTCTTTTGAAAAGTACATTATCTTTAAACCACAACTATATTTTGATAAGTAAATTATATAGTAGGTAAGGTTAGGTTAATATAATAACAAAAAAAAATGCCTATATTATAAATGGTATACGCGAAGGAGATGATAATAATAATAATAATAATAACTGCATAAAATCAAATATATATCTATACTCCAGCAGTAACAGCAACAGCAACATATAAAATATATAATAAAATAGGTAATATTAATTTTTTTACGCATGTTTATCATCTAGATAGTAGGTACATAATAATATACATATATATTATTTTTAGAGAGATTATACACATACACGCACAGGACCAATATACATAATATAATGTTCACTATTACATAATATATAGACCGCAGCAATGCCTATATGGCTATATATTTTATATGGCTCTGCGTCCGTCGGCTTTTTTACGACTTATATAATTATTATAAGGACTGCGGAGTGCTACGTGCGTTTTTCTACACTATATTTTAATATGAATATAGTATATAATACCTAAATGTAAACTATATATATATATTATATCTATACATAATAACATACTTATAACATTTTATACATAAACTACGGCTGGACTTTCGGAATCGTTTACCATATGAAATAAGAGCTCTCAGCTCGTGCATTCACGTATTTCACGTATATCCCTGGTCGGTCGTCGGTATTGGCGCACCATCACGATATTATTATGTATTAAGATTTTAATTGCATTCACTGGTATACTATAATATATATATATATAATATTTACATCGTGCACATCATTATAATTATGTAGACGTATTATAATATACATATAAAACTGCACGCCACTATTTACAATAAAAACTAAAAGGGATAAATATAATTTACACAACGTATAGATGGTACATCGTATTACATTTTTTTTTCAATTTTAGAAAGAACATTGAACTAACCAGAAATCGAATCTTTTATGCGCACTTTTTAACTAAAATTATTTTTCTTTTATCATAAATAAAAGAAGTCTTTGAAAATAAGCTGTTAATTATGTTTATAAATAGTATGGAAATAGCCAAAATATAAATTTTTTTTTCTGGATAATTTTGAAAAGTATCGAGAATTTGTTTAAAAAGCATCTTCAGAGAATCAAAACAAAACGCATAACTGTAAAACCAATAAATTCATCGAATCGATTAATTCTAAAAAACATAAATATACTATTTTAGTAATTGCACATAATAGCAGCGAATACATAACAAATGGGCAAATATACGTTCAGCAAACACAATAACAATTAACAACTTATGATTTGAAAATCGAAATTTCACTTTGTCACTAATCAGCCGGTAATAGGGTCTTCGTAGAAAAATTAAAATTGAAATAAATATTTTCAATACGCCCTCAAACATTAGCAGTGGTCGTTCGAATTCTCCGAATATACAAAATTTTACGATTCTGTGTAACTCCATAACATATTTACAGGTACGGTTTTAATTTCACGTCTCTTGGAATTGTAGGAATAAGGCACATAAAATAATATTATCTACCCATATAATAATATAAATATGACAGTATAAACAGATAGTCAATTTATGTAATTTTTTTATTATGCGGCTATTACTTTAACCTAATATAATATATTTTACCATGTAGGATATAAAATAATAATTATTAGTAACTACCTATGCATCAGAGCAATATAGGTAAAACATAAAAACATACATAGTTAAACAATAATAGATGATGAATTTATATTTTATATTTATATTGATTCGACCATAGAATATATATTATATATAATGCATAATATTACATGTTAAAACCTTTAAGAATTAATCCATTAGCGAAATTGAAATTTGAACGATTTGGGAAGGAATGATTTTAGTCGTGTATAATAATTCAACTCTTCAATCTTAATACGAAATAAAGGGTCTCTCAGAAACCCGTGAATCATTGCAACTTTTTTATTTTACATATTTAATGCTAATTTAGTAAATGTACCATTATTGATAAAATTAAAAAACCAAAGCACAACTCTCGCAATCGTCATTCAGCTATCGCACCTCCTCCAACCTTTCACATTGACACTCAGGAAATATTCGACTGCTATTTCAAATACTTATTCGTGCTGTTTATCATTCAATTATATTTATACATATTCGTATATTAATATGATCGTTAAATAAATTATTTTATGTATGTTTGAACGTATAGGTACACACTAAACAAATCTCTAATTTTATATTTAAACTTATATACATATATACGTGCGCGTATAATATCATTGCGTTTAAACATACAACCAATTGGTACCTGTCAATTATAACATAATGTATAAATATATTATTACATTTTAATATTTTAATCCATTGTACTTAAATAAATCAACCGAACGCATATATTATAAAATATAATTCTCTCCATTGGACCGTTCCCATTGGCTCGTCGTCTGATCGAATTAAAACACGCCCGTTTTATATATTATCTACCTTACCTCATCCGGCCGCCAAGCAGCTGTGAAGGGGAATACTATGACGACATACCGCGATATTAACAACAATAATAATATAACTTACAAGATACAACAATAATCATTAATAGCATAGATAATAGGATACTTATGCAAATACGTAGATATATATTGTATTGTTATATATCCATACAAATCATAAACACGCATCCATACCCCTTAAATATTGATAAATGTATACATATATAGGTATAGGAGATGCTATTTACCCTAAAAGTTGGTATGTACTCGTGAACCTGCAATTTTCGCCGAAAGTTCTCATATAAACTGCATTCTACATCCGCACGTATTATAATATTATAAGATTCAAAAACAAAAAAAAAGTGTATATAAATTCAAAAAAATCCTTTTTAAATATTTAAAATTTAACTCATATACTTTTTTAATTATGCTTTCCTCATATTGTGATCTTAACTATAAGTCTTCAATAATAATTCACGTATCACACATATAACACGTTAACGCATAATTAGTTTTATCAAAATTATTTACTTATATTTATTCATATTTTATGCACGGAAAAAGTATAGAAATATAATTATTCTTATGTTTACCCTAGACAATTATTTTCAATAATAATATAATAACAATACCTATATTATGACATGTTTACTATACATAATATCGTTATTTTTTACACAGTTGGACATATTACCTATGTGTTTTAAGCACTAATAGTTGGTATAACCTTTTTGTATATTTTATTGGTATACCTATATAATATTAATGTTTTGATGCGTTATCTATAAGTACACATACAATACTTATAACGCGTTTTTACCTATAGGTATAAGAAAATCTTTAATCCTTCCTAGTAAATATAGAAATATTAAATAATATAATTGTTGTATAAATATATTGATTTTTAAATGAACCAAAAAAAAACACCTTTATAGAATATTTTTTCCTTCGATTTAACACGGACAATTTCCCTGTACATCCTTTTACGTCCTAATATTTAAAATTCTCATATTATATTATTTTAGATGTACCTATACTTACATAATTACATATATATATATATTAAGTTTGTATATAAATACGTGTCAACGCGTGAGGAGTTTTTTTTAGGGTTCACCTACCACTATTTTATTGTAACAGCGGTTGTCGGTAACGCTCCAAGCGACGATGACTATCCTGTAGGTATTCACAAACAATATACCTATATACACTACACCTCGTCTTATAAATTGATGGTGTTCTGTTAAAAAAATGATTATTAATTTTATCAGGAAAATAATATAAATTAAAAATAACTAGAAACATATAAAAATAAAAATTGTGTTAATAGTAGAGTACCTGTAATATTTTTTTATAGGTATACTCGTACAAAATCGTATGAATTTTAAAATGTTAATAAATTAAGTATTTACCTACTATAGCACTATATAATAATAGATTTCAGATCATCTCAGCCGCCAAATCATTCATAATTTGTTTAATTTTAATTTTTTGATCATTCGTGTAATTATTTAAAAAATATTGTTCGGTATATAAAGTATGTAAAAAATTTTAAAAAATCTGAATTTGAACAAATGTTTATAATTAAATGGGAAAACTGTGAGTGTGAATGTTTATAAATTATCTCGTACCTATATATATCATCATACTTATCGATTCGAAGACAGTACAAACATAGAACAGTAGAACTATATTATAAATTGCCACTGTAAAATAAATTATGTTAATTTTCCAGCGCAGCATTGTAATATTTTTGAAATGGTCACGCGGAGACGTGTATAAAACAATTTAAAAAATAAATAAGGAAATCAACGATTGTTCTGGATATACCTACCTACGGTCATTACGATACTATTGTTGTGTCACATTATTGTCCGTCACCTGTGGTTAATTGTACCTATATATACTCGAGTGTTTCAGCTGCAGTACCACGCGGAGACTGTATCAAACTATCAGAGGCAGAAATTAGATTATACATAATAAATAATAATGTATATATTATTTTATTTACTTACAAGTAATAGTATATTATATACGCGTCCTCGTCGATGTCACGAAGTATACAAAAAATATAATATTAAAATTTTCTACAAATATTCGATCCATAATACTTACGCAGCATACTATTTATATACCTACTCGTCAGTTTGATGATATACATTATAAAAAAAAAAAAAATCAATTGTAGAATATATTATTT